CCCTGTCGTACCTAGCACTCGGAGGAAATGGCTTCAGGAACCTGTCGTCGGCATTGCAAAACTTGCAACACCTGCCCAACCTGACAACTTTGGTGGCTTGGTGCTCACCAGGAATTTCCGTGGTGGTGAGACAATGCCAGTGAATGGCATTAATGGGTTCAAGAGCATGCAGGTGTTTGTCCTTGCAAACTGCTTACTCACAGGCACAATTCCGCCTTGGCTGCAGTGCTTGGAAAATCTCAATTTGCTGGACATTTCTTGGAACAAGTTAAATGGGAATATCCCACCATGGCTAGGGAAATTGAACAATCTCTTCTACATCGACCTGTCAAACAATTCTTTCTGTGGGGAGCTTCCTATGAGCTTCACTCAGATGAGGAGTTTGATTTCAACTAATGGCTTGAGTGAGAAGTCACCAACAGAGGACCTCCCATTGTTCATCTAGAAGAATTCAACTGGTGCAGGTTTGCAGTACAACCAAATCAGCAGCTTCCCACCGTCACTTATACTCTCGAGCAACCTGCTTGCTGGGCCAATTTTGTCAGGTTTTGGTCATCTAGTGAAGCTTCATGTGCTGGACTTGAGCCGGAACAACTTCTCAGGGCCAATTCCTTATGAGTTGTCAGGCATGTCTAGCTTGGAAGTTCTGAATTTAGCCCACAATAATCTCAATGGGAGCATTCCATCATCACTAACAAAGCTGAATTTCCTATCCAACAGGGGGTCAGTTCTCAACAATTTGTCTGGAGCCATCCCAACAGGGGGTCAGTTCTCAACTTTTTCAAATGAGGATTTTGCAGGCAATTCTGGGCTCTGCCCTCTATGGAACTCCTGTTATCAATCGTTGCAATCAGAGGATGAACCTCAACACCACGACATGTATACTTCAATACAAATCACACACATCATGGTGGAAGTAGGATTTTTTGGGGGGCTGCTGATGGTCTGGAGTGTACTGTATTTTGCAAGGCCCTGGAGGTCTGCTTGTTTTAGTCTGATCGATAGGTTCTTTGATATGCCGTGTATCTGGACAGTACAGAATGTGACCAACCTCAGAATAAAAAGAAGGAATGAAGTTCATCCTTGAAGAATGTCTGAGCTGCTATTTCCAGGTTCGCGCTTGTGTAAATAGTCTTTTACTGTGATATACAGCATTGCTTGATTCCTACTTAAGTGGGTTAGCTTGGTAATTGAAAAGATTGTGTAGGCGTGATTTTTTGAATCATTGGTTATTAGAATTACTCTTCATCAATTAATGATGTCAAACACAGCCACGTCTGAAACTCCCAATGTAATATTGGTCATGGTACCTTGATAGTTGAGACAAACAAAATTGGGTACTTTGTCAGATGTTTCCCAGAAATGCTAAACTTGGGGCGGACTTACATGTCTATCCTTTTTTCTTTTTAAAACTATGTCTGTCCTTTTTTGTCTTTTCGAGATTACAGAAAGTCAGCTAAATTCAAGCCAAAATGTAGAGTGGCAAATTTGTGACAAATATAGCTCAGGTCCTTAACACAAATCTATACAGAAATGGCAGCAGTGCAGATTCGTGTTAATAAACTCTCACAGTTTTGTAGTGTCATTATAATTTTTTGAACATATGATTATACAATATATAATGGATGTTAGGTTTATAGGTTGGTATTCCAACTACTGCCACGGTGTTCTGTTCTCTCAGGGGAAAAGAGGTTATTCTGAAAGTTACATTGCCGTCCTAGGAGTGTTCGGCTGCCATTATAAGCCGGCTTATAAGCCATGGTATAATATTTTTCTCTCCCAACAAATTAACCGTGCAAATCAGCACAAGCGGCTTTACGAGTAGTCGAATAGAGCCTAGGGCAGGCCAGCTGTGGTCAATGTTAACTACAGTAACAAAGAAGTATTGTGCTTGAGCTCAGCTTTAGTGTGATCACTGGGACATTAAACAGCCAAATCAGTGCCCTAGCACTGGAACCTATTTGAGGAACCACACGTGTGAGACCAAAGGGCAACGATTATACGCCCTAAGTTATATTCCTTCATGCATCATGAAGTTGGTGCTCCTGGGCGTAGTCTTCTGCCTTCAATCTTCATCAGCAGAATGCTATTATTTGTGATTTGTCAGGCTTATTTTTGGACTATAATATAAAAGCAGTTGGAAGAACGATGGCAGGAACTGATCCTTCTGGCTGCTGTTTAGTTTGCAGTGCAAACTTTGTGCTCTCTCCGGACTCGGGTCAAAATACTTGTGCTAAAAAAAGTCACACAAACTTGACCAGCATCTTTAACTCACTTTACTTCAAGGTTCACTGGTTCAGTCACTTTCAAAGTTCCCATCTATCTTCGGTACTGGAGTTCCTTGATCTAATGGCAATATGTTGACTTGCTTTAGGTAGGTCTTCCATCAGATCGAGTGTTCAATGCAAGCATGCAAGAACAGTTCAACACCACCTGGTGTTGCAGGAGACTGAAGTGCAATTCAGCCCTTTTTTCTTCGACGGCACGATCAACACCTACAAGACATGACTATTGGAAAAGAGACCATCTTTTCAAAAAGAATTTCTGATCAAACTGGACACTAACCAAATCAGTTAGGAAATCGTGAGCAACACATAACATGTCAGTGTTTTCGTAGAAGACGAGCAGAGCTTTGAAAACACGGCTAAAATAAGCCCCAAACCTGCAAACGAACCGGTGATTTTACCAGCTAGTTACTTGCTCTTCATAGTATTACAAATCCAGTTTCATATTGCAATTCTTTATTCTTAGAATGGAAAATATATTTTCTGAATGGAGAAAGAGAGGTAACGCAGACGCAAAGCTGAAGAATTGAACATTGTTTCTGAAATATGAGTGGAAGTGTCTTAGTCTGAGTTTAGCTGGCAGTACTGAAAAGTATTTTCTGAAGATAGGAGGGATGAATTCTGCTGTCACAGGTCGAGGTCAACTGAAACAACTTTTTTAACTTCTTGAAAACGAGAGATTATCAAGAGCTCTCAATTTCTGACTTGGCACGTTTAGGCTGAAAGTTATATCATTGACAAATCTGCACCAGCTTTCTTCTTGTTATAAGTTACCAATTCAGACTCACTGACTGACTGATGAAGCTTAGAGTCAGGAAATTCTTACAGGAAACCAACTGCAGAGGCAGTGGGCTAGAGACTAGAGTGATACACATACGCACATACTCAGGTAGCCGTATCCCATTTGACAAGCGGAAACAGATGCGCATCTTAGTGAAAATACGGAGAATACTTTTTTTTTAACACAGATTACTGATGGAAAATACAGCATATTTAATGGAACACTTTTGTGTACAAACATGAATGGCTAGTGTAATTGTATAATAGAACAGATTTAATAAGTCTACAAATTTAAGGAACAATGAGACTAAACATCTACCGCGCCTCTAGAGTTGTGATACTCATATTATTCAGATATCTTTGCATGGATTCATTTGATTGATCAGTTTCATAATTCCTAACAGTAAAATATAAAGGTTCTTTTGGGGTAGGAAGTGGGGCTATTTCATTCTCCAGCATGAACACAATGGATGACATGAGTGGCCTCGCATTTGGATGGTCTTGGACGCACAAAAGGCCTAACTGAATACATCTTACAAGTTCCTAAAGTGAATAACTCACAGAAATTGATGAGTCCACCAATTCCAATGCATTTCCATCCTTCCACATGCTCCATGCCTGAAACAATGAAATTAGGTTCTGATCAAGTCACTAAAAGTGTCTGGGTTGTTCAAAGAGGAAGCATTCCTCATTTCCTCTGTACTCACATAAGCAATGAGGTTCGGAAAGTTCGTTAGGGATGAGCTGATCTTTAAGCCGCTTACAATCTCCAGCAGTAGAACACCAAAAGCATAGGTGTCAGACTTAACAGAGAATGAGCCTTCCATAGCATACTCAGGAGACATGTAGCCGCTGTTTGAAACATTTCATAAATAAATGGAATGTACAGTTAGAATTAGTTCAAGTACAGATGTTTACCAGTTTAAACCTAGATCTTTGGTGTAATCCATTAGTAAAACACCAAAGCTATAGGTGTCAAACTTGATAGGAAAGGAACTTTCCCTTGCATATTCAGGAGACATTAAAGCACTGTTTGAATCATTTCAGAAAATAATGGAATGCACAAATTGAATTAGTAAAACTGTAATATTTCACCATGCTAAGCATCAGCTGTGGGTGAATTACTTACTATGTACCTGCAACTCGTGTTGTGTTTACTTGTCGTTCACTTCCACCGAATATCCTGGCCAACTTTTCTGTGGAGAACAAATAACTACTTATACTCTCTTTAAACGCGCAGGAATCCCTGGCCTCTGGGGCGTCGGCCACTGTGCGGTGCTGTTCATTAATCTCTTTTTTTTTCCTTTTTTTGCTTTTTTCATGGGAAGTTTTTTTGTTTTGCTTTGTTTCTTTTCATGGAAATTCTTTCCTTCTAAAAATTAAGCACGCACAATAGGCGCGCGCAGCGAAGCGCGTGTACTGTGCTAGTCATTATTCAGTGGCAGTGAAAGGGAACTTTTTTTTTTTTGTAAGCCTCTCATCTGAGTACAGCTGTAGCATCTGTTCATGCACAGACACACACTCACGCTACGCACGCACACCACCACATACACCACCTGTGCACTACTAGATCTACAACTAAACAACCGCGTCCTTCTTGGGATCACCGAGACCATCCATGGCTTCGTAGACGACGGGCAGTTCGCAATCCCATTGTGGGTCCATGCGAGAGAGGCTGCTGATATTTATTTTGAGGAAAAAACCCCGGTGGGAAATCACGCGCCGAGCCTTGCTCGAACACGCGACCGGTGGCTGCACTGACGTTGGTGGGGGCATTGACCCTAGATGCTCCCTGCCTCCCGAGTCAACCACCATGGCTGATGCCTGATAGCTCCCTCGTTCCACAGGGCCTCCTTCCCAATCCCACCACGACCAATCAGCAGAAATCTTTGGTACGGTACTAAGATGATTCGGCGGCCGCCTCTCACCGGAGATATGGGAGGCAACTGCTGTTTCGTCCACTTCCTGGTCGCCGCCGTACTTGCCCACTTCCATGGCGCTGTTGTCGGACAGTACCTGAACCAGACTACTCATTGTGACCCTGCCGACCTGGAGGCGCTTCTGGCCTTCTCCAAGGGCCTGGGCACGGACGACGCCGGGCTTGTCGGATGGGAAAGTCCCAACGACACCTCCTGCTGTTCCTGGACCGGCGTCTCATGCGATCTTGGGAGGGTGGTCGGCTTGGATCTCTCCAACAAGAGCCTAAGTGGCGGCATCTCCTCCTCCATCGCCTCCCTCGACAGCCTCGTGGCGATAAACCTCTCCCGGAACTCTCTTCGCGGCCAGGCGCCCGTGGAGCTCGGCCGGCTCCCGGGCTTGCGTGTGCTTGACCTCAGCGTGAACCTGTTCTCCGGCGGATTCCCAGCCAGCGAGGATGGCTTTCCTGCTATCGAGCTGGTCAACATCTCCTTCAACAGATTCGACGGGCCGCACCCTTCGTTCCCCGCCGCGGCGAAGCTAACGGTTCTTGACATCTCCGGCAACACCTTCTCCGGCGGCATCAACTCATCCACGCTCTGTCATGCGCCGGTACAGGTTCTGCGGTTCTCAGGGAATGGGTTCTCCGGTGAGGTGCCCAGCGGCCTGAGCCGATGCAAGGCGCTCGTGGAGCTCTCTCTCGACCGAAACGACTTGACTGGCGACCTCTCCAGCAACCTGTACACGTTGCCCAAGTTGAGGAGGCTTCGCTTACAGGAAAACCAGCTCACTGGCAGTCTCGACAATGCCCTTGGTAACCTCTCTCAGCTTGTGCAGCTTGACTTGTCCAATAACAGGTTCACTGGCTCCATCCCTGATGTCTTTGGAAAGATGAGGTGGCTAGAGTCCGTAAACTTGGCCACCAATGAGTTGGATGGTGAATTGCCTGCTTCCCTGTCCAGTTGTCCACTGCTGAGGGTAATCAGCCTGAGGAACAACTCGCTGTCTGGTGAGATTGCTATCGACTTCAACTTGCTGCCGAAGCTGAATACTTTTGATATTGGAACCAACAATCTGAGTGGTGTTATACCTCCTGGCATCGCCGTGTGCACCGAGCTGAGGACGCTGAATCTTGCAAGGAACAAGCTCGTGGGGGAGATACCAGAGAGCTTCAAGGAGTTGAGATCCCTGTCGTACCTCTCATTGACAGGGAATAGCTTCACGATCCTCGCATCGGCATTGCAGGTCTTGCAACACCTGCCCAACCTCACAAGCTTGGTTCTCACCAGGAATTTCCGTGGTGGAGAGACAATGCCAGTGCATGGCATCAGTGGGTTCAAGAGCATGCAGGTGCTCGTCCTGGCAAACTGTTTACTGACAGGCGTAATTCCGCCTTGGCTGCAGAGCTTGGGAAGCCTCAATGTGCTGGACATTTCATGGAACAAGTTAAATGGGAATATCCCACCGTGGCTAGGGAAGCTGGACAACCTCTTCTATATTGACCTGTCAAACAATTCTTTCAGTGGTGAGCTTCCTATGAGCTTCACACAGATGAGTTTGATTTCAACTAATGGCTCGAGTGAGCGGTCACCAACAGAGGACCTCCTGTTACTCATCATGAGGAATTCAACTGGCCAAGGTTTGCAGTACAACCAGGTCAGCAGCTTCCCACCGTCACTTATACTCTCGAACAATCTGCTTGTTGGGCCGATCTTGTCAGGTTTTGGTCATCTCGTGAACCTTCATGTGCTGGACTTGAGCTGGAACAACTTCTCAGGGCCAATTCCTTATGAGTTATCAGGCATGTCTAGCTTGGAAGTTCTGAATTTAGCCCACAATGATCTCAATGGGAGCATCCCATCATCACTAACAAAGCTGAATTTCCTCTCCAAGTTTGACGTGTCGTACAACAATTTGTCTGGAGACATCCCAACAGGGGGTCAGTTCTCCACCTTTTCAGATGAAGATTTTGCGGGCAATTCTGCGCTTTGCTCTCTTTGGAAGTCCTGTCATCAGGCTGTGCAATCAGAGGATGAAGATGAACACCATGACATGGACACTGCAAAGCAGATCACATCCATCATGTTGGAAGTTGGATTTGCCTTCGGGCTTCTGATGCTCTGGAGTGCACTGTATTTTGTGAGGCCTTGGAGGATTGCATATTTTAGGCTGGTTGACAGCTTATTACTTGATAGGCCATGTGTCTGGACAGTGGTGAAAGTGACCAGCCTCGGATTTAGAAAGGAGAATGAAGTTCATCCCTGAAAGATGTCTGGAGCTTCTATTCCAGCTTTGCGAACAATACGGTGATGTAGAATTAGTGTATGAGAACAGTTATAAAAGTTAATGATTTATGCATTAATTCTATTTCTGCCCAACGGTGATGTAGAATTAATGTGTAAGAACAATTGTGAAAGTTAATAATTTATGCATTAATTCTATTTCTGTCCAACGGTGATGTAGAATTAGTGTATAAGAATAGTTGTATGTTTGGATTTTGACCAACGTTGGAATCAAGGCATGCAAATGGTGTTATTTTTATGATAAGAAAAGTTTTGACCTAGTTTTCATCTTGTCTAAGGTGGACTGAGTAGTCACCTCACCGTGTTCCACTGAGTTTGTGGCACCGGTGAGGGAGACAAAAGAGAATGATGCCACTTGGGCAACTAAAGAAAGGGATTTTGAATTCCAAAAGATGTCCTATGCTTTTTGAGCATAGGAAGTGGGTCACTGCCAACAAAAAAATATTTGGCTATGATAAAGAACATGATTGAACCTACAATTATGGGCTCAATCCCAGAATGTGACACGATCATCCAGTACCTCGATAGAATAAAGAGTCAGTTCACTTGCTATAAAGAGTCGGTTCACTGGCTCTTCAAAGATATATGCCACTCAGCTGATGAAGCAGCTGTTGACAGAGTGTTAATCTGGAAGTGGTGGCATAAGAGAGCTCACGATGCGTTGTCGAAATTATGGCACTGTCGTTTAAGCCATATTTCGAGGGGGAGAATAGAAAGATAAGTTAAGAAGATATTCTTCCTCCATTAGAGATCTCAGATTAAGAACAATGCAGAGAATGCATAAAAGGAAAGTATGTAAAGAAATATGACAAACGAAGCGCAGGAATTTTATAGATTATTCACACAGACATCTGTGGTCAACTTTCCTGTAAAGAGTGTGGATGGTTATGATCCGTTCATAACATTCACAGATGATTACTCCCATTATGGCTATATTTATCCAATCAAAGAAAGAAAAGATGTATTGAATAAATTTAAGATATTAAAGATTAAGATAGTCAGGTCTAACCGTAGGGGAGTACAACGGTCGGCATACCCTAAAAGAATGGCATAGTAGCCCAGTATTCTACACCGGGCGAACCTCAGCAGAATAGAGTAACTAAAAGAATCAATCGTACCCTGATGGATATGGTGGGCAGTATGATAAGTTACTCCACCTTACAGTTGAGCCTGTGGATGGAGGCGTTAAAAACCCTATTCATATTCTCAAAAGAGTACCAAGCAAGTCGGTGCCCAAAACACCGTATGAGTTGTGGACAGAAAGAGTGCTCTCACTAAACCACTTGCGTGTGTGGGGGGGAGCCCTGCTAAGGCTAAAGTATTTAACCCAAACATTGGGAAGTTAGATCCCAAAACAGTAAGTTGCCATTTTATTGGCTACATAGAAAAGTCAAAAGGTTTTCGTTTTCTACTGTCCAGAGAGACATACAAAGTTTGTGGAAACGAGACACGCAGCCTTCCTAGAGGATGAATTGATGAGGGGGAGCATGGTAGCTCGAGAAATTGACCTTGAAGTGAAGCGGGTGTATGCACCCACTCCAATAATTCATGAGCCAATTTTCTCCCTACCTGCTGTCACTGCACCGACAGTGCTAGATACTGTGGTGCCAGCACCTGTTGTTATCCCCACCTGTGGCAACAATGAATGACGATGAGGAACCTGTTCTTCAGGATTTTATAGAACCTATTGTCACACATGAGGGAGAGCAACAATAGCCTCAAACAGAAGATGTGCCAAAAGTGGAGGCCCCTAGAAGATCTCAAAGAGTTAGAAAATCAGTTATTCCTGCTGATTATGAAGTGTACAACACTAAGAAATTTCAAATAGAGGATGATCCCACCTCATTTGAAGAAGCCATGAGAAGTGATCATTCATCAAAGTGGCTTGAGGCCATGGAAGATGAATTGAAATCAATGAATGCCAATAAAGTTTGGGACTTGGAAATAATTTCTAAAGGAGCCAAAACAGTAGGCTGTAAATGGGTCTACAGAACAAAACTTGACTCTCAAGGGAATATAGAGAGATATAAAGCCCGACTTGTGGCAAAAGGCTTTGTGCAAAGAGAAGTGATTGATTACAATGAGACCTTTTCTCTAGTCTCATGTACAGTTTCTTTCAGAATCATAATGGCATTAGTGTCACATTACGATTAAGAATTACATCATATAGATGTAAAGACGACATTTCTCAACAGAGACTTGGAGGAAAATGTTTACATGGCACAACCGAAAGGTTTGTCGTAGAAGGAAAAGAACGAATGGGATACCGCCTAAAGAAACCCATTTATGGATTAAAACATGCTTTAAGACAGTGGTACTTGAAGTTTGATCAGACAATAAGGCATTTTGGGTTTGAAGAGAATGTAGAGGACAATTGTGTCAATACAAAGTTTAAGAATGAGAAGTTTATCTTCCTTGTCCTGTATGTAGATGATATCTTACTAGCTAGTAGTGATGTCAGTCTACTACTGGAGACAAAGAAATTTGATATGAAAGATCTTGGTAAAGCTTCGTTCGTTCTAGAGATCGAGATTCACCAAGATAGAAGAAAAAGGGTATAAGGACTGTCACAAAAGGCATACATGGAAAAGATCTTAAAGAAATTCAGTATGCACAAATGTAGTCCCTCACCTGCTCCTATAGTCAAGGGCGACAGATATGAAGATTTTCAATGCCCCAGGAACCAATATGAGCTCAATCGATAAAGTGAAAGTGGTTCCATATGCTTTAGCTGTCGGAAGCTTGCAACATGCTCAAGTATGTACGCGTCATGACTTGGCATTTGTTACCAGGTTTTTACTTGGCAGATTCTAGAGCAATTATGGAACAGAATACTGAAATGATAAAGAAAGTCTTGCGTTATTTGTAAGGAATGAAAGGCATCATGATGACGTATAGAAGATCTGATTGACTCCACATAGTGGGATATTCAGATTCTGATTATGCGAGAGTGAATACATATCCAGACGTGGATTTTCTATCATCTCGCAAAGGGGAGCTATTTCATGAAAAAGCTCAAAGCAAACTGTCACTACATCGTCCACAATGTATGACGGATTGTAGCGTGTTATGAGGCAACGGGCAGGTGAACTGACTAAAGAAGTTTATACCCGGTTTGAAGGTGGTTGACGACATCTATAGACCACTTAAGTTATACTGCGATTATAATCTGGCAGTACAGTATGCTCACAACATAAGTCAAGTGCTGCTGCCAAACACATTGACATAGAGTATTATGTTGTGAAAGATAAAGTCCGGGATCAAGTCATAAGTCTTGAGCATATAAGTACAAAAAGAATGCGCGTGGATCCGCTTACAAAAGGCTTACCACCCAACATGTTCAGAGAACATGTCACTAGCATGGGTTTAAGGGAAGCCTAAAATTCCTGGACAAAAGAAGGCCCAAAGATTAGTATCTATTTCAGAACAGAGTAGTGTGTTGTAGCTGTTAAATCTATCGGCAATGGACCGGGACGATGAGACATGCTCTATGCGCTAATCTGTAATAGAATGAACAAAAGTAAATAATATGAAATTGAAAGATGGAATGAGATCAAGGGGGAGAATGTTAGTTGATCTCCATCAATAGGCCCAACGGTCTATTGGGCCCTTACATCTGCTCCCTGATCGGGGGAGCCCAACCCTAACTGATTGGTGGGCCCCTATCGCACAACACATATATATAGAGGAGTGGGGAACTGGGCTCGGGTCACGAGGTTGAACGGAGCCGCTACCCACCTACAGAGAAAACCCTAATCCGATCCTAAAGAAGTGCTGCCAGCGACGGGATGTCCCACCGCACCGCCGTCGCCCCTACAGGTCTACACCGGGCCACTGGACTTCACCTCCTCGCCACTACGACGTCTACTACACCGCGGCATCGGCGTCCACGCTTGCCGATGCGCCGCAACAGAGAAAGGCGAGGAGCCTTCCCGGATCTACGGTTACACACAGAGAGGTAATCATCGATCCTAACACAAAGGGCAACGATTATACGCCCTAAGTTATATTCCATGCATCATGAAGTTGGTGCTCCTGGGCGTAGTCTTCTGCCTTCAATCTTCACCAGCAGAATGCTATTATTTGTGATTTGTCAGGCTTATTTTTGGACTATAATATAAAAGCAGTTGGAAGAACGATGGCAGGAACTGATCCTTCTGGCTGCTGCTTAGAGCTTGTTCGGCTGGACTTAAAAACACTGTTCATGCTGAAAATATTGTTCATGTTAGAATGTCGTTTGAGAAAAACATTGTTCCGGTTTAAAAAAACAAGCCGAACAAGCTGGCTTGTTGCTCAGCCGAACACGCCATTAGTTTGCAGTGCAAGCTTTGTGCTCTCTCTGGACTCGGGTCAAAATACTTGTGCTAAAAAAAGTGACACAAACTTGACCAGCATCTTTAACTCACTTTACTTCAAGGCTCAATTTTTTTTTACAATTTGGCCCTTTTTAAAGAAAAATCACGTTTGGTCCCCTAAGAGACGTTAACTCATCTTTGACCCTTGGGTCGGCGTCAGGATCTTGGCTCTGAGGTAACTAGTCGTGCACAGCAGGGCACATTAGGTTCAGCATCATGTGCAAGATGGACGAAGACCTGTATCTGTTGCGGTGCCCGTTGATCTGTTTCTACGCGGTTGAGTTCCACCTGCCACACCGGATTGCACGCCAATTTGGGTTGAGACAGGAGTGGCTCGTGAAGCCGTTCTCGGCGTCAATAAACTTGCACAAGTAAGCGTCTTTGAACTGTTGTATACTTTATTGAATATTATAACGTGCACACATGCCAAGTTTTAAATACAGTAAATGAGGTCGCTGTCTTTTCCGGGGGCAGCCATGGAGATATCAATTGCACTTTGGCTTGACAGTAGCTTGTCCCATGCCATTATTGTAAGTAATAATAACCGTCCTCCTGCCTACCTTGGATAAACATTTCCCGCCAAAAAAGTAAAATGTAGGGAAGCAGA